TCTTTCTGTGGTTTGAATATCAGGGCTTGTTGGTTTCATATAAGAAGTTCAGAAAGAGAACTTCTTTATTTATGTGAACACATTGTAACTATTTGATCTTTAAATGTTGATAGAATTAATTTATAAATCCATCTAGACCAAAATTTTACATATATGTGTATATATACATATATATACTACGTGCACACTATATTTATGTACACACACATGCATGTGCACATGCACATACATACACACTTGTTTATTTATTTTTCCCTATGGGAATTTATTCCTGGCTTTCTCGATTTCTCTTTTTGATATACGTTGTTAAGATTATTTCCTCTTTGGTAATTTTATGTTCTTTAACCTTCAGTCATAACTCAGACTATACTTGAAATTATTAGGGTAATTCAGTCTTTCCTAAAAACAATGAATTTGTAATAACAAAGTGATTTATGTTCTCCATTGTTTACAATCTTCCTCTCCATCCATCCTCAGAAACACCCACATTCCCTCTAGCTATGTGTCAGTTTCTTCTGCCCTTTAGCCAGCTAGAAGCCCTGGTGTTAGGTTTTTTTTTTTTAACATTATTATGTTTTATTATCCTAGAAGTATGGGGAAAAGAAAGAGCATTGGGTCTGAAATCAGAAGAAACCTGGGTTTGAATTCTGACTCTAATATTTACAAGCTATGGGACTATGGGCAAATCATTTAACTTCATGTTCCTCAGTTAACTCATATGTAAAATGTGGCTAATATTACCAGTAACATTTACCTCACAGGGTTGTTGTAAGGTCAAAATGCTATAACATACCTACATAAAGTACTTCATAACATTTAAGTTACCACCTAAAAGGTCTAGAGGTGGCAGTTGATAAGAATGTTGGACTTGGAGCCAGGAAGAACTGAGTTTGGATAATTCCTTAGATATTTGCTAGTTGTATAAGCCTGGGCAAGTCACAACCTCGATTTACCTCATTTTCCTCAACTACAAAAGAGGGATAACATTAGCCCACCTCCCAGGGTAGTTGTGAGGATAAAATGAAATATCTGTAAAGCTCTTTGCAAACCTTAAAGTGCTATATAAATGCTACCTATTATTATTATTTATTATTATTACTATATGAACTTTGGCTAATACTATTTTAATTGTTCTCCTTGGTTCTAAATTTGTAGTCTTGCTACATAAACTGCTACTTCTAGGTACAAAGACACACAATCAAGTCCAGTTTGACTCTCACGGGATAATTAGAACAGACTTAAAAATTAAAGGGTCCTTAAAGTTATCTAATACCAGCAATATCAAAATCATGGACCTTAAACTGCTCAGAAATGTAACTGGGAAATGTTTAACAAAATTAAAAAAATATACAACCCAATACAAATAATGTTAATTTGTGGTTTTCTAAATCAATATGCAACCCCCAGGGGATCTCTTTCTATTTGAGTTTGACACTATTGATCTAATACAATCCCTTTTGCAAATGAGGAAACTGCAGCCAAGAGAAAAGTCAATTAAGTTGCCCAAGCTTTCATTGCTAGCAAGTGGCAAAGGCAGGATGGTATCAGTATGACAGTGGGTTTTAAACTGCTTATGCTGTTCTTAGAAGTAAAGACCTGAGAAATGTGGAAGAGGATCAAGTAAAGAAGAAAAAGCCCTCAACTGTTAACTACCATTTGTTAGTAAGGTATAACTGGGAAGACGTGGGAAGACGTAACCAGGCAAACTTGGAACATCCCACCACTATAGTTAAGGACTATTTGAAAATGTGCTTCTTTTTTTTTTAATTCAGTAGTTATTATAAACATTGTCACAATTAATGAACTGTTTTTTTCCCTAGGTTCCTAGGAACCCAGGTCCTCTGACTCCTGAGGCAGTGCTCTTTCCACTCTACCATGTTGCCTTTAATAAGATAGAGCTAAATTAAAGCTTAATTTTTCTTTGGGACTATATATATATATATATATGTGTGTGTGTGTGTGTGTGTGTGTGTGTGTGTGTGTGTGTATGTATATATATATACACACACACATATGTATGTATGTGTATATAGAGATATATAGATATATCCTATAGTCAGGACTAATATATTAGTCTTCATGGTACAGTGGAAAGAATATGGAACTTAGAGGTTGGGTTTGAATTTCAGTTATGTCTTTCACTATCTGTGTGACCTTAGACAAACCACTTCAACTCTGGGGGCCTCAGATGCTACTTCTAGGTACAAAGACACACAATCAAGTCCAGTTTGACTCTCATGGGACAATTAGAACAGACTTAAAAATTAAAGGGTCCTTAAAGTTATCTAATACCAGCGATCATCAAAAATGAGGGGATTGGATCTCCAACGGGATTGGATTTCAAAAATGATGATCTTATTAAAATGATGTAGTCAGCCTGCATGATTTCTTAGAATACTTTCATCCCTAGAAATCTTAAGATTTCTTTGCTTATTATTTAGAAATACTTACTGGGGGCCTTTATAGACCAAATAAACAACTGTCTTTTAAGATCATATGTCCTGACATACTATAATATGATAGACAAGTCACACCTGATATGAAGGAGGAGAACTAGCTGAGTGAAAAATTCTCTAGATTATATAGGATTAAATAAGGAAGTTCTTTAGAACCTAGAATTCTATTGGATTTTAGACTTTTCAAAGGGCTTTATAAATATCAGTTCACAATCCTTCCAAACATCCTGAATACATGCAATCAAGGTATTCATTTTAAGCATTAGCGTAACAGAAGCATCCTTTGGCCCAGCACAGACGTCTAAAAGACACCTTTGAATAACTAGGTTGAAAGATGTTGCTTTTTCCAAAATAATAATGTTCTAAAACAGTGACATCTTGTGGTTTCCCAAGCATAACAGAAATGAAGTATTAAAACTAGAAAAACTCCTTTTCTCATAAGAATGGCTCAGGGGAGGGCAATGAAGGAAAGGTGTGTGCTCACTTTTATCACCTCAAAACTGATGAGATTGCAGCCTGCATGACCTCCACTTGGGATCTGAATTCCCCTTGATTGTGGGGGATAATATAGCAATGGAAAATGGCTCTATTCTCCACAGACACCTTTCACTGCAACATCATGAAAACAGCAAATATTTCCAGGGCTGTACTTTGTCATTTGCATACCAGTAATTCTTTTTTATAGGTAACAGAAATGCTGTGCTTTCAGTATCGGGCACTTTGGCTCTCAAGAAAGACAATCTATATCATCTCATCGATTCACCCAACCAATTAATTCATTGAGTTTTCTCCATCTATTAAAACAACAACCACAAAAAAGCACATTTTGACATGTCATATATACATATATATATTCACCACACACACACACACACACACACACACACACACACACACACATATATATATATACATATATGGAAAAATACAATTTAAATTTTAAAAGTCAGCTCTGAATAAAAATCCATTTGTAATAAAATAAAAAGTAAGATTCTTCATCTCATTAATGGCTTTTCTTTTTATAATGGCCAGATGAACTTGTACATGTTAGAAATGCTTCTAAGGGGAGACAGCTGTTTGTATAAGATTATTATCTCCCTAGAAGCAAAAGGACTTTCATTCTACCTTGAGATGATTCCACATTCAAATGTTGGTATGCTGTCTATCTTTTACAATTTTGTTGGTGAAGTTTTATATCCCAAGCTAAAAGCTGAACTACCACACTCATAAATGGTGAAAGCCAAGATGCCCACTACTTTTTTTTTATAAGAATCTGACCTATACAAAAATAAACAGAGCACACGAAAGTAAGAGCTAGAATTGAAAAGCAATTTTTGAATGAACTTTAGAATTGCATATCTAGTGCTGGAAGGAATCTAAAAGGGCATCTAACCCGATACCTACAACTTTTCTGATGAAGAAACTGAGCCCAAATATGAGAAGTGACTTACACTGTGTCAGATAACCATGATAGCTGTGGTTAAGAAGCACATCGCTGGGATTAGATTAGTGTGTTGGTAAATGTTAAACAACTAACTCTCAAAAATGCAGGACGCATTTTAAGCTTAATCTGCCTTATTAACACTTCCTTCATCACTTTTTAAGGAAATCAATAAAGTTCTGAGTTATAGCCTTTTCTGATTTGCAGGTGTCAATGCTCACACTGAAAATGTAACTATAAACTTTTCTGAGCTTCAACATGGCTCTAGCACATACCTGGCTTAGACCCAAGGCCTCTGACTCCAGATCTCAGCTTTCTCTCTTTATCTACAATATTTCAAAGATTCTAGATTCTTAGAAATACCCTTGTAAAGAAAAACCAAAAAAAATCAGAAACTTTTAGAATTCAAGAAATATGTTCATTTTCATACATTATCTAATTCACGGTCATCAGCATATTATGTGAGGTAATTGATGCATTGGTCTCTCTTGGATTTCTCCACTTTCACATTTTTTGAATGACATTGCACAATAATAATAATCCACTGAACATGTATGCTAAAGGATTTATTTGTATTTTCAGAGTTGCCTATTTTAATTATAAAACCAAAAATTCATTGTAAAATACAAATATATCCGCACAGCCTAACCATCTTCATTGACAAAGGGCAATGTCATATGAAATGATAAAAGTAGACATCACATTGGGCAGCCCAACAATGCTTAACAAGCCTACATCTTGCATGTGCATGTTGACTTTGTGGACATTTTACAGACTACAGGACCCAAATGATCAAAAGCATGTTGTCCATTCCTGTACCCTTCTATTGAGTTATGTTTGCTGAAATAAACAGGCCATCAGGCAATAACTAAACCTCCCTAAAGAGGAACAACAAGAATTCAAAGCTGCTAAATGCTGGCAGACTTACTCACACAGGAGTGTTTGTTCCTTCTGCTATGTCATTAGAGAGATTTCTTTTTTATTTTCCATACAAATTCATATCCCTCTAATTTAGCTACTATTAGCCCACTAAGGAAACACCCTTTCAAATTTTGTTTTATAAAACAGGAATGGACTTGGACAATCAACACTGATAAAATACTGATAAAACAGAGGCAGTGGGGCACAGTGAAAAGACCGGAGTCAGGAAAACCTGGATTCAACTTCTATTTGTAACAGGTACTACCTTTGTGACCATGAGTAAGTCACTTAAGCTCCTTGAGGTCAGAGACTGTCTTTTATCTCATTTTGTATCCCTAGTAGATAGCAATGCCTGGCACACAGGAAGCATTTAATAAATATTTATCGAATGAATGAATAAATGATTTAACCTCTCAGTATCTCCAGAGACTCTCAATCTGTAAAGTTGGAGATAAGTCACCAGTCCAGATGAGGCTGCTAGGTGGCATAGTGGATAGAATTCTGGACTAGAGTTCTGGAAAACTTGACTTCAAATCCTACTGTGAGGGATGGCTCACAGTGAAGTTCCCTCATTAGTATCTCCCTGCTATGCTCCTATCTCTCTCCTATACTCTGCCTGAGTGTGAGAGATGGCCTGCAATGCAGTTCCCACAGGCCTAAGTTTCATTCCTCCAGAAAACCTTGAGTTGTTTCCATTTTCCCTGATAAGTTTCTATTTCTCCAGCACCACGTCAGCATGGGTGGGGAAGCTTGGTTGCCTGGGCGCTCCTACTTCCTAGTACACATATGCATCTAGTCCAAACATGGGCATGTTTGCTTCTATTGGGTATTAGCTGCCCTGTTTATAATGTACGCCCTGAGTACCCAGTCAAAGGAGAAAGGACTAAGAGAGTGGGAGGGGGATCGAGTTAGGGGATAAAAGGCCAAGAGTGCGGCTCCCAACTCATACTCTCCTGGCCAGCAATGGTGACTAAGGGTAGTACCCTTTCTCATGAGAAAGCAATAAACTCCTTTCTGCCTTCAAGGTATCTAAGTCTTTGCTTTTATTTTGAGTGGGTGGTCTCTGTCCCATACACTACTTCAGACATTTAGAATTGTGTGACCTTGGGCATGCCATTTTGTTTCTTTCAGCTCACTTTCCCTTATCTGTAAAATGTACCTTCCTTACAGGATTATTATGTAGATCAAGTGATATAAAAAATGAGAGCACTAAAAAGGTTAGATATTATAAATACTATTAATGGGAAAAGTTTCCATACCAAGAAGTCCCCATATTTATAAAAATCATAGCTCTGGATAAAAATATTCAGTGCATTACAAGGAAATGTGGAGTATTTGGAGTAGGGGATAGAGTATTGGACTTGAGGTCAGGAAGACTTAGGTTCAATCCTGCCTCTGATACCTAAGAATTGCATGACCTTGGGCAAGACCCTCAGCCTCTCTGAGCATCAGGCCACACTTTAAGATCAATCTACCAGATAACAGAGGAGTAGGTAAAGGGAGCTTTCATGCCATGAAATCGCAAATCCTCAACATAATTTACTCTACCTGGCACTTTAGAGAAATTCAAAGGATCTAACAGTCATTGTCCCTGTGTCTTAGGAGACTAAGGGACAAAGGAACCAAATTATGTATCAGAAAATAATACCCAGCTAGCCCCAGGCCAGATAACACTTTACATCCCATCTAGTATCTACCCCAGCCATCTTGCCATTTGACACTCCAATTTCTCTGGTTCTCCCCCCTGGAATAGCACTCTCTGTAACACCTAGAATATCATCTCCCAGGTCAGATCTCCAAAAAAACACACCCCTAGTCCCTGAGGGAGTTAATCCATTGAATTTTAGAACTTCCCTTCTGGGGCTGAACTGTCTTGATTGGTGGGTGAGTGCAAACTCTTCTAGCCCATTGTATGATAAATGGAAAGAATGCTAGAGTTTGAATGAGAAGACCCAGATTCAAATTTGGGACTTTGTCATTTGCTATATGCATGTCTTAAGTGATTTCAGACAGGTTATTTAACATTCCTGGCCCCACACTTTCCTCATGTATAAAATAAAGGGATCAGACTAGATGATCTTAAGTTCCCTTTAAATCTATGATCACATGATCCTATGAGCTAGCTGGATCGAGTCATTCTTTATATCCCATGCAGCCAACCATAAAGACACCTTTCCATCTTTCCTGCTGCTGACACCTTACCCTCTGCCTGGACCATGGTAGATGTTAGATACTTTTTCATTCATACAGAGCCAAATTATACACTTTTTAACCTTGAACATTATAATGCTGGTTATTTGGTGCCTTAGCAGTGTCAAGACTTTCTGTTTATCTCCCTGCTTTAACAATTATATTGTCCGTGTAATTGACTCAAACGTATAAGAATACAAGTCATTCCTAGATTGATAAATGGTCAAAGGATATGAACAGGCAGTTTTCAGATGAAGAAATTAAAGTTACATATAGTCATATGGAAAAAAAATGCTCTAAATCACTTATGATTAGAGAAATGCAAATTAAAACAACTCTGAAGTACCACCTCACCCCTATCAGATTGGCTAATAAAACAGAAGAAGAAATGATCAATGTTGGAGAAGATGTGGGAAAATTGGAATACTAATGCATTGTTGGTGGAGTTGTGAACTGATCCAACCATTTTAGAGAACAATTTGGAACTATGCCCAAAGGGCAATCAAACTGCACATACCCTTTGATCTATGTCTGTATCACAAAGAGATCATAAAAAGGGGAAAGGGCCCACAAGTGCAAAAATATTTATAGCAGCTCTTTTTTTGTGGGGGCAAGGAATTGGAAATTGAGGGGCTATGTATCAACTGGGGAATAGCTGAACAAGTTGTGGTATATGAATGTAGTGGAATACTACTGTGCTTTAAGAAATAATGAGCAGGCAGACTTCAGAAAAACCTGGAAAGATTTACATGAATTGATGCAGTGTGAAATGAGCAGAACCAGGAGAACATTGTACACAGTAACAGCAACACTGTGTGATGATCAGCTATGATACACTTAGCTCTTCTCAGCAAAACAATGATCCAAGACAATTCTAAAAGATTCATGTTGGAAACTGCTATCCAAATGTAGAGAAAGAACTATGGAGTCCGAAGGCAGATTGAAGCATACTATTTTCACTTTTTTTGTTGTTTTTTTCTTCCTTGTGGTTTTTCCCTTTTCTTCTGATTCTTCTTTCACAACATGACTAATTCGGAAATATGATTAACATGATTGTACATGTATAACCTAAAAAAATGTATATTGTCTGAAATACATATATGGAACTTTAAGGTTTGTGAAGTTCTTTAAAATATAGTATTTCATTTGACCATCACAATAACCCTGTGAAGTGGGTACTATTATTGTCTACATTTTTCTTTTTTTAGGCAATTGGGATTAAGTGACTTGCCCGGAGTCACACAGCTAGTAAGTGTCAAGTTTTTGGTCTGAGGCCAGATCTGAACTCAGGTCCTCCTGACTTCAGGGCCGGTGCTTTATCCACTGAACCACCTAGCTGCCCCATATAATCTCCATTTTACAAATGAAGAAATTGTGGATTGGAGAAATTAAGCGATTTCCCCATAGTTCCACAGCTAGCAGTATCTGAGATGAGATTTATACCCAGACCTTCTGTATTCTAAGTCCAGGATTCTATCCATTATACCATAGTATACTTAAGAATCCTAGAATACCTTATACATTTCTTAACTTTCTAGAAATAGTTAATTTTATTAAAATTCCTATTTTTCTCTAAAAAGGATTAAAGAAATGTATAAATTTTCTAAAATTGAAATTTGTGAAGTCTGTTCCAAGACTTGATTTAGCTCACAGGAGGCTCTAATATCCCCAATTCCTAAGTCATTTCTTGTTAGTAAAAGCCACTATCTCAGTCCACAAGAGAAAAATTATTACTCATATTGCATGATTCTCAACCTAGTCCATTAGGCCTTTATAATAACAAATCAGTACAATAAAGATGAAGCTTTTTAAATAGTTTTAAAAGTTCTGATCCTATTCCATGAGAAATCCATTGTTAGGTATACTTATGGAAGGATATGCGGATTTGTACTGATATTCTCTCCAGGAATGAAGTCCCATTGTTATGTGACAATCTTCCTTTTTGGAGACAGCACTGATCCTTGGGAATACTTAAGTATTTTCCAATGATTACTTCTGATTGTTTGCTTGACATTTTAAAAACTAAGCACCTAAAATCACCCAACTGATTGAGGAAAATCATTGCAGCAGGAAATCCTATTTTTAAATTTACTTTTTTAAAAATTATGAACTTAAGAAACATTAACAATCATGAATCTGTACATCCATATACAAAGAACTTAAAGTACTCTGTATGGAACCATAAATTTCTATTTAAACATACACACACACACACACACACACACATGTAAAATTATACTGGCCTAGACTCAATATATATAAAAAGTGGTATCTATCAATGTCATTTTTCCTCAAAGTCAAGGAAGTTTGATCCTAGGGATCTGTAGGCTACACTAGAATGGTGAGCCTAAAAAACCACCCAAAAGGAAAAAAATCCATTTCTGCCTGAAATTATGACTGAAGCCCCCACCTCCATCATTCCACCCCTTAATACTACATCAGAAATATACTCAATGGCCTATATTTTTGGTACTTTTCCAGAGATGACAAAAGAGAGCATCTGTAACCTGGTGCCCATGGAAACTACCCAGTAGCCTAAGATTCTGGGAATATGCCCAGCCTGCTTTATGGAGGTAATCCAAATGTGTCTACCTCTCATATGGAAAGTGGTAGAAGAGTACAATGAAGAGTTAGGCTAAGGCTGCCATACCTTAAATGAGGCCCAGGGAAAAAAATCTCACTAGACCAAACCCCAAAACTACAGATTTCACCTAAGACTTTTACACTTTTGCCCTCAATCCCCAATTTTGTAGCTAGTATATAAATGTTATAAAGTCACTACAACAAACTTTTAAATTGTCTCCATGTTGAAGAGGCATGACCTGGACCCATCCAGGGATGCCATACTACCTGCTATAGAATCCTATCCAGAGCTACTGCTCAACTCAAATGATTAGGAGAAAGGGCTCTGAGATGCTAGGAATCTCCTTTACCACATGGTTAATTTCTTGACTTGATGGCAGAAATGTGCCAGTTTGAAACATTTCATTTAATAACTATAATAATAGTAATGCTTTAAGGTTTGCAAAGTCCTTTACATACATTATCCCATTTGATCCTCACTACTC